CCCCTTCCCTCCCTCCCCTCCGCTCCCCCCTTCCCTCCCTTTCCCTCCTCTCCTCTCCCTATTTCTTCTCTGCCTCTGGTTGCTGTGAGGGAAGCCACTTTCCTCTGCATGCCTGTCTTCCATGATGTTTCTTTCTGCCTTGGAGTCAGCTGACCATGGCTGAAAGCTCTGGAATTGTGAGCCCAAGGAAATCCTGGCAGTGGCTGTCCCTGTGCTCTGGGGGCGATGAGCCGCTATGGGGTTCTGAACAATAAGTGAATGACTTCACTTGAGCTTTCAAGGGCTCTCCCTGGGTGCTGAGTGGAGGCTGGATGGAGGAGGGGTGGAGAGGGAGGCAGGGAGAGAGGCCTCTGCAGGGTCCAGCTGAAAGGTAACGGTGGCTCAGGCCAGGGTGGGGATGGCCACGGTGGGAAGGAAGGCTCCTGTCTGGGCTTCCATCAAGGGTGAGACCAGTGGGTTCTACCCATAGATTGGATGGGAAGTGTGAGAGCTCAGGCCAAACCAGGAAGGACCCAGAGGTCTCAGGAGCAGCTGCTGCGAGGATGGGGCTGCCGTCAGCTGAGCTGGGGCAGGGTTTCGGGGAGTACTAGGATTCCACCTTGGACTGTAGGGTCTGATTGCGGGTAGGCTTTCCAGTGATGCTGTCAGCCACACACCGGGTGCACAAGTTTGAGGCTGTCCATCTGAGACTCATGGGCACATGAGTGTTATTTAAACCCATGGAACTGGATGAAATCATCGGGGGTCTAAATCCCGAGGAGCGGAGCTCTGAAAACACTACCATGGTGCTTTTGTTGGGTTTTCAGCTTCAAGTTCCTCTAAAGGGACAGCGCCTCACCTGGCAGTCACCTCAGCAGCATCGTGCCCTTTGAGGGCGGCTGCTTTAGGGCCTGTCGCTAGCCAGCTGGTCTGGGGAAAAGGCCTCCTCTTTAACACTGCCCTCTATAGTGTATTAAAAATTTAACTCTAACTTTGACATTTTAAGACAGACTTTTCATAATGACTACTAAAAGGATAATTGGTTCTTTAAAGGTTTTTTTTTTTTTTTTTTGTCTTTGCTGATTTAATTTTTTTATGTCCTGCGGATGACAGGCGGTTTAATTTTTCTTTCAACGCGGAAGGAAAAGGGGAAACTTACAATTGACGATCACAAGTGTCCTGCTGCGGGCGGGTTCTCGAGGGCCAGGACCCAGCCATGGCACCTGCACAGACCGAGGACGCTGGGGTTAATAACGTGATGGCGCGGGGCTGATCATGTGCAGGGACACACAGGTTCAGCTGTGGTGGTTCACCGTCTTCCTCCGGACCCTGAAAATCCGAGGACCCGTGCGCAGGACAGTGCTGCGCATCTGCCTTCGCTCTTTCAGGCTGATGCCACCAAGTGCCGTACACAGAGTGAGGAATAAGCCCTAGAAATTTATT